CGGATGGGGAGGGGGGGATTGGGACGGGGCCGGGGTGGGGCCGGGGCGTGCCCATGCCCGGTCTCTGAGCCACCCTCTCACACCACCCTCCCCACCCCTCCGCCCCGAGCTGAGCCTGAGACGAGGATTCAGTGCATGGCTTTATCGGGTGTCCAGTGCGGGCAGGCACTCCACTCCCGGGAACAGCTAGACACAGGCGCCCGAACACGGGACGCGGAGACCTGCACTCCGCGCTGCACTCCGCGCCAGGCTCCGTGCCGGACTCGCTCCTTTGGAGCGATGCTCTGCTCTCCTAGCGAGGATGGTCGGGCAGTCGGCAGTGAGTTCTCTGACCTTGACAAGGTCGCCGGCCTCCAGGTGTGGACTTCGGCCCCTGCCCCTGCCTGGCAAAGGCCGCGCCCTCTGACCGCCCTCTCCCCGCAGGAGGCCGTGGTCAGCACGTGGCTGCGGTTCAGTGACGGCTCTGTGACCCCCCTGGACATCTACGACGCCAGGGACTTCTCGCTGGCCGCCACCTCCCTGGACGAGGCGGTGGTATCGTCCGCGCGGCCCCGCGCCCCGGGCCAGCCCTCGGTGCTGGCCGAGGGGGAGGGCCAGGGCCCCCTGCTGCGCCTGGACCTAAGCATCGCCGAGGCCTGCCAGAAGTCCAAGCGCAGGAGCGCGCTGGCCGCGGGCGTCGGCCATGTCGCCGTCAAGTTTGGACAGCACGACGCCGACGCAGGGCCGCGCGGCCAGCCCGAGGACGGGGACCTGGAGAACCACGCCAGTGACCGCCGGCCCAAGGGGCCGGACCCAGAGCGCCCGGGCCCGGACGGACGCCCGCAGGATGGCGTCCCCGCGGAGCGGGACGAGGGGGCGCCGCGGGGGGCCCGCGCCACGGCCAGGCCCGCGCCCGACAGCAAGGTGGGCAGGAGCGGACGGACGGACGGGGGGCGGCCGTCGGGGGAGGCCCAGCTCCACCACATCCCCATCGACTTCACCAACTTCCCTGCCCTGGTGGGCCTGCCCAAGGCGGGCGGCGGGCTGCAGCAGAGCAACCCCGGGCCCGGCGCCCGGGGCCCCAGTGACCTGGAGATCGGCATGTACGCGCTGCTGGGCGTCTTCTGCCTGGCCATCCTGGTGTTCCTCATCAACTGCGCCACCTTCGCGCTCAAGTACCGGCACAAGCAGGTGCCCCTGGAGGGCCGGGCGTCCGTGACACACGCGCACGACTGGGTGTGGCTGGGCACAGAGGCCGAGCTCCTGGAGAGCGTGGGTACTGGGCCGCCCCGCCCGGACGAGTGCACCACCGCCGTGGACCGAGGGCTGGGCGGCTGGGAGGAGAGGGACCGTCTGCTTCTCAACGGGGGCACCCAGGTGTCCGCGCAGGCCCAGGTGCCGCGGCCCAGCGGCCCCGGGGGGACGCCGGCCAAGGAGGCCAGGCCCGAGCCGCTGCACTCGCCCACCGCCAAGCGGAAGAAGGTGAAGTTCGCCACCTTCTCCACCACCCCACCCGAGGACGGCTGCTCCCCAGTGAACCCCATCCTCGGGGGCAGCGAGGACATCAAGTGGGTGTGCCCAGATCTGGCCGCAGCTGCGCCCAAGGAGCTCAGAAACTACCTGGGGAAATAACGCCCAGGACCACCTGGTCCTCCCAGGGAGGACGAGGCTGTGAGCTGGGCAGAGGGCAGAGGGAGCGGCCGTGGGGCTGGGCCGCAGCAGCCGCAGCAGCAGCAGCAGCAGTGCTGGAAGGGTGGAGGCCGGGCAGGGACACTTTTGCACCGAGGGGCGTCCTTTTTTAGCGGTAGATGAAGGTGAAGTTTTGGAATTCAGGTTCCCTGGTGCCAGGCGGAGGAGCTGGGCGCTCGGAACCGAAGCACACAGATACGCGAAGCTTATTTTATCGGTCGGAATACAACACAGACAAACTACCAAAAATTATTTGTTAAAAAATGCAAAAAGACAAATAAAAACAGACAAACGATATCCTGTTCATATTTCTAATTTTTAAAAAGCAAAACATAGAAATAGGGCGTGCTAAGAGAGCTTGTCCATTTGACCTCTCCATCCCATCTTCTGGAGTCAGCCTGGGAACTTCAGCCTAGGGAGGGAGACTGTTTCCAGGCAGGGCCTCACCGTGTAGCTCAGGCTAGCCTTGAACTTTTAGTCCTCTGTGTGTTGGCATTACAGGCATGAGCTACCACAGCTGGCCGGAAGAGTCTTTGCTGAATATTGGTTATGTCCTGCGATAGAAGCAAGGATTTTTACATTTTAATTGAACAAGCACATCTCTTTTCCATTCTTCTTTGTACGTGTGTGTGTGACCTTCCATTTGATTAACATTTAATGCTTATTGCTTAGAATCAAGCGGCTTATTTTGCTTAAATGAAATATATATTCCTGTTCTTTAGATGATGTTTTAGAAATAATGCCAGCCAACCCATTATTTAAACTATGACTTTATAGCTTATCTCCTTATCTCCCACCATGGATGGTATTTGCTGGTGGTTGTTATTATTACAGTTTCAGGAAGTGATCGTTGCCCTCTGAGAGAGGTGGGGTTAGTGAGGACCCCTCCCCCACACCACAGGGCCAGGGTCAGAACCCGGCCATTGGTCAAGGCTGCCTAAAGCTGACCGTGCAGGGCTCCATTCCTGTGGGGCCGGGGGAAACTCCTGCTCGAGGAGAACCCAGTCAAACCCAAGAGACAGTGACCATGAGTGATCAGGACAGCCTGGCCTGGTGAGTGGACCACAAGGCAGAACTAGCTTGGCGCTCTGCCTGCTTTTCAACTCTCTGAGCTGGGCAGAGGATCCCGGTGGAAAATTGGAGGATAAAAATCTGTGTTAGGCAGGGCGCCAATGGCTCACCCCTGTCATCCTAGCTACTCAAGAGACTGACATCTGAGGATCACGGTTCAAAGCCAGCCTGGGCAGTAAAGTCCACAAGACTCTTATCTCCAATTAACCACCAGAAAACTGGAAGTGGCACTGTGGCTCAAGTGGTAGAGTGCTCGCCTTGAGCTGAAGAGCTGAGGGACAGTGCCCAGGCCCAGAGTTCAAGCCCCACGACTAACCAAAAAAAAAAAATCCATGTTAGCTTGTTCATAGACTGTGGTTTTGAACAGCAGGACTGTGTGGAAACACAACAAAACTCACTCGGCTCAATTTGCACGCTCATGCACGTGGGCATGCATGCGTGTGTGCCTGGGGACGGTGGCCAGGCAGCCCCGTGTGGGGCAGGGGCAGGGGCTCCGTGTTATCCCGGGGCCACGTGCGGCCGCACCACACGCCCCACGTGCTCACAAACACGCAGGATGGTTGTGTGTGTGTGTGTGTGTTCATTACTCAAATCAGTAGATAAAGCACCCTTGGAGCCTCAGAACCCCAGTTTGGAGCTATAAAAATTGTATTTGTAGCTCACGTTACAGATAGAAGATACTGACACCCACAATGCCAAGTGTCACTAAAATGCTTCCGGCGGCTTCACAAGCCCGTGTGTTGGTGTTTCTTAGTGCACTGATCCCTGAGGTCCTGCTGGAGGGAGGACTGTCCTGGATGGCCACGTGGCGCCCATCGGCGTCCGTCAGACCACTGCCTGCCCCCACATGAGCACCGTGACCACGCCTGAGCACGTCTGGGCACGCCTGAGCGAGTGCAGCTGCTGGCTGAGCGGCCGGGGACCCCACTGCGGCCCCGCCCCCGCCTGGGAGCCCCCACCCCAGCTCAGGAGGCTGGCTTCTTCTTGGAGCTGCTGTGCGTCCTTGCTCAGGCTAGGAGAGCGTTGTGGCTAGGAGCTGGTTGGAGGCTGAAAGCGGGGTTTTAGACCTCACCGCCTGCGTCAGCGTCCCGTGTGAGGGGCTCTGGTCCGGCGCTGCTTCCCGGCCCGCTCCCCCAGGTTCGCCACAGCCGCTGGGCCCGGCCCATGCAGCCGGACGCTGGCATCACCAGCTCCGCCGGGGCATTCTCTGACTCCACCGGGAGCCACTCTGGTCTGCAGTCCCCAAGTCTCTGTGAGACAAGAGACCAAAGCCGTCCTTGGCCCAGGGGAGCCTCTCCGGACAGACTATAAGTGGGGGCGCTGAGGGGGGCCGAGGCTGCACCCCTAAACCGGGTCAATCATCTCGAGCCAGGACCATGATGACCTCTCTGAGTCACCTCAAAAAACCAGAGCAGAGCCAACGATCAGCCTGACCAGCCCTCCCCCATCCTCTCCCCCCTCCCCCCCCCCCCCCC